GGACCTGCTCAGCAACCAGCGCACCTTTCGTCGTGAAAGCGCCACACTCGCTTCCTTGGCAGCCAAGTAACTGCTTCGTGTGGTGCATATGCTTCCCCGATGCGCTTCTTCTTTATCGTAATCGCTGCCTTTAAGCGCCTGTGTCCCACCAATGTATGCTCCCATCCTAGCGGCAGCTTTCCTATCCCGGCTTTTGGTGTCGCTCGTAAGTCTCTACGGCGCCCAAATTGAATTGTACACAAAGACCTCAAAAAGTTTTGCCATTTCTCGTTTTTTATTGTGTGATGGACCACTAACCGCAGGGCCAGTACCCCCCTCCCACCCCACCGTGAAGCTGAGGCGCCAAAGCTGAAAGGTGCGCCGCCGAACACCATGGATCCCGCCCTCAACTGGAGAGGGGGTTCTGTTTTCGGCGTTGTCGACGATTTCCTTCCGTTTTTCTTACTGGCGTTACATTTTACATCTCTTCTATCACTTTCAAGTGTAAGAGCTACCAACTCGATCCCGTACTGTGCCTTTAGGCAACTCAATCTTATCCGTCTGAATCTCTGAAATTGAAACAACTCAAATTCTCAACAATAAAAACGTAGAGCTGCGAGGAAACCGATGTCATTTTTTTCAGGTATTTTCTACGTTCTCATTACGGGACTCATTATCGCTCTATTGTTAGCCTTTGGGGAGTACTGCATTGAATCAAGGCATGACACATTCCGTTTGCAGCTCACTGTTTTAGGAAAGGTCAGTTGTATGAAATATTCTTCTTCTGGTAGTCCCCATCCCCTCACTATCTTATACGAAAAAGATCTGTGCACTAATTTTTCAAGTGTTCGTATTTTATAGATTCGAAATTGGTGGATGGGAGTGAATGGCGACAAAGCCGAACGGGCTCGAAACAAACTTCGCAACATGCAGCTGGACACGGCCGGGCAAGAGTTTTCAAAGTGAGGCTGGAAATGTTGCCCCAAGAAAAACATGCTTCAAAAAAACACTGAATAGAGTTAACTTATTCGAATTCATCAAACTCCAAACATTTTTTATTATTGTTCATTTATTTATTATTTATTTTGGCACATCCAACAGCTAAAAAGGGCGTCACTGTACTACAAAGACATCTTTCTTCAAATTTCTTTGTAGGGTTTGAAAATTCTATGTGAATTTCCAACGTTCATCTGTGGCATTGCATGTAATTTGTTTATCTATGGCTTTGAATGTGAATAATTTTTATCGGGTTTTCCCATTCAAACAGAAATCCTACCTGTAACCTAGTTGGAGTTGACTGGAATCTCAAAGTTCTGCATAGCGCTGCACTGTAAAAAGCGCTCCTCTATCCACTGACTTCTAGTGGAGCTTTCAGAGAGCGCTAACTGTGCAATGTTGTGTGCTAGCTATTCCCTTACCAGGGAAGGCATTCAACTTCCCATGGGACTTTGAATTAAGACCCATATGGTTCGATAGAGTTTCTAATGCTGATTACAAATATGGGAACCAGAACTGCTAAATAGACCTGCCAAAGAAGTTGTGAGCAGTCAGAAATGGTAGGAATTAAAGGACGAATTCACGATGAAAAAGCAACCCATTTCAAATTAACCTAGGGATGGTGAGTGGTACACGAAAGAAAGAGAAGAAACCATGAGAAACGGCCCAGAACCCGAGAAATGGGACCCCTTCCTTGCCCGTTGATTCGAGCATTGATGCGACTCTCATCGCTGTGCCCTCTTCAACACTACGCTCTCTCAGCTATCTAATCACTCGCCACGTATTGAACTACGGCGAGTGATCAGATGATCGGTGGGCGGAGATCGCCGGACCCGCTAGCTTTGGCGGGCGTCATTGTTTGCAGTCCTAGTTTTCATATTTACTATATTCAGGGCCTAGAAATCTCTGTTGATCTATTTGGGTCTTTAATTCAAGTTCATGCGAAGTTGAATGCTTAACTAGGTTAGTTGTTGCCTCCAGAATCGATGGGTCGGAAGAATCCTTTCATGGTGGGGTGAGAGTAGCTTCACGACTCTGCACGAAGTGCCTTTGTCAGCTCACAGGGTGGCGCGGCAATGGCGTCGCTTAGCAAAGTGATCTGATGGCGGCCTGTGCGACATAGATAAGCGAAAGGCTACTTTAAGCACGTTGGGAACAGCGCTGCTTTTACGTTTTGGCGCGAAAAGTTTTCAAAAGGGTCGCGCATTTGGAATTTTTGGGAATTCTTATCTCCAAATTGAAGAAATAATCACTTATGATGCAGACACAACTTTGAAAGAAATGAAACGGAAATGAAAACAAAAAACCCACTAATTGGTCCCAAAATGGGGGCTGAAAGGTCACGTGCAGTCGACGAACTGCAGTCTACATTTAGGCTGCATGGGCTCCAGGGCAGGGTCAAACGTCCGTTCGCATTATTCGAGCGAGGGGTCGCATTGTGTGGTTTTGGGAAGGGGGTATCGCAGAATTTTTGAAAAAGTGCGAACATGGCGGTTGACCCTCTCGAAACATGAGGGTCTTTCAGGCAGGGTTGTTTTCAGAATGGTTTTCTGAATGTTTGTAGAGGCTCATGTGAGGAACACAGAACCATGGTCCATTTTTCCTGAACGCCCCCAGGAATGTCAAAACAGCGGGGAAAAATGGTCCAAAGTTCGATCCTCCGTGATGACAAATTTTTGCAATTCATGTTGGCGCCTCCAAATTGTAGCAAAACACGACAACTACATCTATTCTCGACGGAGAACGGTCAACAGAATCGTCCGGTCGTCGCGCCGCCGCGTGCGTCCACTTGCGCGGCAATTTTCGAGAAGCGCGGGACTTTTGAGTTTGACGGTTGAAGCAGTTGGATCTTGAAGGAACGGGCCTGCTTGGCGTCCTTGTAACATTCAAGTTCAGATGACGATCACAGAAACTCGTCCACTGCACTTGCGACGTCGCGGCCACGACCGGTAGCGCGGGGATCCGGACGATTCTGTTGACATACACCCATTCTCGACATTGCAGAAATTACTCATCACCGGGGATCGAACTGGACCATTTCTTCACCACTGTTTTGACATTCCTGGAGGCGTTCAGGAAAAATGGATCATGGTTCTGTGTTCCTCGCATGAGCCTACATGCAGAAAACCATTTCGGAAAAACGCTCCATGTCCTGAAAGACCTCCCGTTTGAGGTGTTAAGCACATGCGCGCATTTAGGATTCAGTCAGTCAACATTGGTTAAACAATACTTAATGTGCGTCTAGATAGAGCTGCAGGACCTTAGTCCTTCTTTCCGAGCTGTACTATTTTCTGTTAGTGTTGTGCCTCAGTTTAGTGATTTCACTGATATATAGCCATAGTCTTTTCTGTTCACTATCATTGTGCTATTGTCGTCAATCTGTGTTATTTAGACAACAGTTCTACTAAGGAGTAGGCGAATCGGAGGTGTCGGGTCGACATCATCCGGTCGTTCACGTTTCTCACGTGCCGTCATTGTGATCTATGTGGTGCTTCTTCTTCTTCTTGTTTCTCGTTCAGTCCGTTTATGTTCAGCAACAAGGTCCTCGTTTAAGCTCTATGCTTATATGTGGCTCGCAATCTATGCAGGTGATTTAGCTCTGACTACCAAAATGGACCGAAAACATTCGTCAACGAATGAGACCTTATGACACACAATCACCTTAAGTGAAGCAGCTTTTTTCAGCTTATCAACTACAACTACGGGAGGAGACGACCAGAGGTTTTTCATTCGCAGTGGTATGCGACGAACCCGAGCGTCGTCCACAATCAGTCGTGAAGGTATCAGGAGGCTCAGCCGAATGCTTTCCGCTAATCACGAGCAGCTCATCCACCTACAACTTCAAGGAGAAAGGAATTCTATCGTACCTAACTCAAGAAATACTTGATAAACTCGTCTTATTATGTTCCGCTCTTGACGGAACACTGTTTCGGCTTCTTGACACATAGCATGTAATTTTGATACTGTACCTAATGTTGCAATTCCGTAAATAAACACGATATATCAATATTCTGTAAGACAAACACTCCTGGGTTGCTCTGCCATATCGAAAGTAAAGTGTTTACTGGGACATATGAACTGGCTGTCAAAATTACGGAGTTTTAATGTTTCCAGACGGACAACGAACTCCTAAGCAAAAATATGTTATAGCTGGCGTTTCAGCTGCCGATCCTGTTTTACGTCCTGTTCTAGCTAGGCGAAACACTTTTCCACTGAGAAAAGGGGAACGTGCAAAGTGGACACACTAGTGCCCCATTAGCCGTCGGATTCGAGAAAAACGAAATCGCGGCTAAAACCAAGACGAATCCATTATCTCAGTGTTGTAAGTGTGTTACAAAAATTTCGCTTCAAAAGATAGACTAAAAACACATTTCGTTTGACTACGTGTTTCGCATGGGGCTGTGCCAATAATAGTTAAAATAGAGTCTAATCCTCCCAAACAGGTGTCATGCCAATTTGCAGGACTCGGCCGGCCGGCAGCGTAGTACCGAGACCGTGCGCATCTAAGCAGCGCGACCTGTCACCACACCACCTCTCCTCGGCACGCAGTGGCAGTTTTCAATTGTTTTCTGGCATAGGCTTGACAACAGCTCTTTCCTTTCCATCATCGCTAGCCGGAATCAGTTAAGAAAACTCGTTTTTCTGCTCTGTGAAACAGACTACATGAGAGTCTAGGCAGACAAGGAGGAGGGAGGGTCGGGGTGGTTTCCATTTCTCAATTTTTCTTTACTCTGCTCGCTGATTGTATTCACCGCGATATCCAACCTTTCGGCAGGCAGGTGTGGTCCTAAGAGAGTTAAGAAACGTTGAAAAAGGATCAGAATTAGGCCGCAATTCAGTGCTTCGAATGGCCGAGCAAAAGATGGGATTCAATCACTCTAAAGCGGAAAACCCTTTGATCCTACTAGGAAATTGAGCCGAGAAGAGCAGGTGATCCACTTCATCTCCTCAATAAGATGGCCTCCTTCAAAAGTGGGTCATTAAATCCAAAATGAAATGCTGAAGTGGATGAGTGCTTTGTTAAAGGCAGTGATTACGATAGATTCAAGAAGGGTTTATAGGAGACTGGTGGTGCTCAGTGGTACGCCAGTGCGAAAAAAGCGGAGAAATCCGTCAAGAAAACGCAAAACGGGACCCCTTTTTTGGCCGTTGGTTTTCACTCATGAACAGGTAACAGCTCAGAAAGCGGACGTATGAACGAGTTCACCGCAACGCGTTTGGTGGCACCATGCCAAACCACGCTCCAATCGAGTTGCTCCAGTTGTGCCGCTGCTGGCAACGCAGCTCGTCCAAATCACCAAGTAAACTAGTGGGCGGATCGCTTTTGGGGGCGGAGTGCTTTCGAAGTCCTGCTCAGCAACCAGCGCACCTTTCGTCGTGAAAGCGCTACACCTCGCTTCCCTGGCAGCCAAGTAACTGATTCGTGTGATGTATATGCTTCTCCCACTTTATCGTAATCGCTGCTGTCTTTAATGCTGGAAAATACTAATGAAGAACTGAAAACATGAGCATTCATTTCACTGTTGCATATGTGATTCATCTGTGATACCTTTCAAGTAAAGTTCCACAAACACTTGTGAACACGTGCAAACGTATTCGCATAACAGTAAGCCAAACGGTCTATGAGACTTCCATCTGTGGATTAGCTCTATTACCTAACATTTTTTTCTGACCACATACACCATTTCCCTACTCTTCGTTCTCATTTGCAACTGCGACTTACTGCCTGCACGCCGACCAACCTTGGTTCACATTTTTGTACGCCTTTTCTCATTCAGAGCGTCCGTTTATGAGTTGCATGAACCTTTAACCTCTCCTACAAACACGCACATATGCAATTACAAATGGTGCGCCATAATTTCCTGCAGATGGCGCTGTTATTGCCAGCAATCTCAGAATCGGTTGTTTTTTATTTTGGAAGTATGTCCATAGCCGGCTGACATGACAAATAGGGGTGTTGATGTGGTTCGTTGTATAAACAACGGATGCAGTTGTTATTGATGGCGCACCTGAGCTGGCAGTAGCATAAAAAGATAAGGCAATTGGCGTGGGATCAATCCCCTTTGGGATGCGCCACGCATTCTAATTCTATCCAGAACGAATGCATTCATCTGCCCAGGTGGATCTGTTACCCATTAATCAACCCTGAGCGATTGAAGGCTTGGTTGGTCTGAGCGACGCACGATTCCAGGATGGTCCCTGAACCATGCGCGGTAAGCAGCGCCACTTGCTACTACAATACTTCGGCCAACCCGCTGTGAACAACCCGGCGTACAAAAACAAACAGCAATGAATAGGAAAAAGGTCCCAGAATAGCTATGGCGTTCGGACGGGGCCAATCGACGAGTTTCGACGGGCCATGGCGTTCGGACGGACCAATCGACGAGTTTCGACGGGGCATGGCGCGTCCCTGGCTAAGATGGTCAGTGGCGTAAAGAGCCGGAGTCACCGGCGACCGGCAAATCCTCCGGTCCTCTGTCGTCGTAGCCGAGAGCCTTGTGTCATCATGTACGTGCCTTTTCGGTCCATCCGCTATCTCCGTTCCCTCGTCTAAAAAAAGAAGAGCCGAGGGAATTCCTGAACGAATACATTCGCATTGTAGACGAGACATAGTTATTCTGTGAGTCAGAGGTGCCATAGAAACACTGAAACTTCCTTTGTGAAGTCGGCCGTGGTATGAAGGAGAGACACACCGCTGCGAGGAGAGGTAAAACGTGAGAGAGGACGTCATACTCCAGAACGCCACTTATGCGCGATTAGCTAGCATTTACCGGCAGTGCACAACGCAAGGCCTTAGCATCCGGCAGCGTCCCGGTTTCTGCCCTCGCGGACCCTTGTCGACTATTTTAGAAGGGACCACTTCTTGACACTTAATTCCGACCCGTGTTAAGCGGATTACCGATTTTCCTGTCCTTCGTTCGGATCTCAGCCTTTGCCAAATTGTTACCACGGTCCTCATTTCTTTTGGGAGGAAGCCGTGCGCTCTGAGAAAGCCTT